TAAAAAACTACATGTCAAAAAAACATAGACATGAATACAGCAAAAGTCATGCCTTTCAACACTTACACAAACCACCCCCATACTATGAAATAAATAAGCATTTGACTTTTACTATTATTTTTTCAAGATGGAATCTTGCTCTGTCACCCAGGCTGGAGTACAGTGGTGCAATCTTGACTCACTGCAACCTCCGCCTCCTGGGTTCAAGCAATCCTTCTGCCTCAGCCTCCTGAGTAGCTGGGATTACAGGCGCCTGCCACCACGCCCCACTAATTTTTGTATTTTTAGTAGAGACAGGGTTTCATCATGTTGGCCAGGCTGGTCTCGAGCTCCTAACCTCAAGTGATCTGCCCACCTCGGACTCCCAAAGTGCTGGTATTACAGGTGTGAGCCACTGCACCCAGCCAAGCATTCGACTTTATGGAAAAAAGAAGAAATAAACTAAGAAAATCAGAATTAACTAATTCAAGAGCTGATTCTTGATACAAGCCAATTAATAAAGACTAAATTCTGGATAATTTTATCAAAGAGCGGGAGAAGGTACAAAGAAAGTGAGAAATGGAAATGTAGGACTGTTACAGATATATGATAAAAGAACCATAAGATACTTTGCAAAACCTTACATAAATATATTAAGAAACCAGAAATGAACAGCTTTCTAGGAAAACATAAATCACCAAATGACCCACATTGACCTTAGAAGATAAAACAAATCAAAACATTAACCCCCAAAACAATTATATTAGACGGAAATAGTTTCACAAATATATTTTCGAGTTGTTAAGGAATAATTTTAATACTATGTTAAAGTTCTAGAACACAGAGACAGAAGGAAAGCTTCCAAATTATGAGGACAGTATAACCTGACAACACACAGACATTTTGGTTAACTGCAATGAAATCTCAGGAATAACCACTTTAAGTGTTAAGTAAAATATTAGAGAGTATAAATCAGCAGTACTATAAAGGAATAACTTGTAACAACCAAGTGAAGTTTATCCAAGAATTGCAATGAATGCTTCACCACTAGGAAGTATATTAACAAAATTATTCATGTAAAAAGGTTTTAAAGGAAAAAAATGATTAACTCATTTGTGTTCAAAAGGCATTCAAAAAAACTGAACATGCACTTTGATTTTTCAAGAAAACTTAAAAACAATAATAGCTGAATACTTTCTAGCTATTTTCTAAAAAAGAGGATGCATGAATACTGAAAAGGAAGAGGAAGAACGATTATTTGTTGAAGATAAGATTGTGTATCTTAAATCTTAGAAAACCTAAGATAATTGATCAAATATACTGGCTACAAAAATAATATTAAAAGGATACCGAGAGTTTTCCAAACCAGTTAGAAAGAAATGGAAGAAAAGCTTCAACTTGCAATAGCAATAAAAGATACAACTATCCCCCGTAGGACTTGGCACCCCTGCCTTCACTCTGTTTGGGTCTCTTCTGCAGAGACCCTGCTTAGGCTCCAACGCCAGTGGCAGCGGTAACGTCCACACACCTGATGCTGTGGGGAAATGGCAGGTCTGCAGCACACCTGGGGTTGTCCAGTGACCACCTGTTGACAGCCACATTTTATATGGTACATGAGTGGGGGGCGGAATGTGAGACCAGAAATGTCTCACAGTCACATGAAGAAAACAAACCTCGACTGTAAAATAAAAGCTTTTACTTAGAAAAACTGAATTTTTAAAATACCAGTTTTCTCTCAAAAATCCTTAATTTCAGCGCAATCTCAATACTAATAAAATAATATATCTGAATAACACTAAAATAGTAGTGGATTCTCTTTTATAACTTGACAAAATAATACAAAGTAATGAGGGGACATTTGCCCTAACAGATATTCAAAGGGTAACTGGAGGCCGGATACTCCTGTAATCCTAGCACTTTGGGAGGCTGAGGTGGGCATATTGCTTGAGTCCAGGAGTCTGAGACCAGCCTGGGCAACACGGCAAAACCCTGTCTCTACAAAAACTACAAAAATTACCCAGGAGTGGTGGCAGGCGCCTGTAGTCCCAGCTACCTGGGGAGACTCAGGTGGGAGGATCACTTGAGCCGGTGAAGTCAAGGCTGCAGTGAGCCATGACTGTGCCATTACACTCCAGCCTGGGCAACAGAGTGAGACCCTGTCTCATATTCAAAAAGTGTAATTGGAAAAGCAGAGAGCAGTGGAACAGAATAGAGTGCCAAAATGTCATTTAATAAATGCCACTAATCCACATGACTAATGGTTTGGAAAATAAGCAGAGCTGAGTTCTTATTCCATAACAAAAAGTAAATTCTAGATGAGCTAAAGATTTAATCATACTCAATTATATCTCAATGAAGTTGTACCCATAAGCATTAAAAAAACATAAATGTTAGAAGAGAAATATGGGTACTTAAGAAAAAACACTTCATCCAGCATGTGGAAAATTCTTTACAAAAAACACAAAAGCAAGAAGCCATAGGGAAAGCTGTATGGAAGATGGCTGCAACACATAATAAACTGGCCAGTCTCCTTAACAAGAACCTGTATGAACAGACCAATAGAAAAATGGACAACAGATGAACCGGGAAGTTCACAGCAAAAGAAAGAAGGATGCCCCAAAGATATCTAAGAAAGATACTCAAAGAACGACCAATCGAACAACAATGGAAGACTCTATCCAATCAGCAAACATTTTAAACCGTAACAGCGCCATGTTTTCATGTGGGCCTAGGAAAACAGGCGTCATCGCACACGACTCCGGGGAGTTCACACTGCCACAGTTATATAAGGAGTCAAAAGGAAGTGGCATGTTCATGTAGAGTTTTTATTTATTTATTTATTTATTTTGAGTCAGAGTCTGGCTCTGTCGCCCAGGCTGGAGTGCAGTGGCGCGATCTCGCTTACTACAAGCTCCGCCTCCCGGGTTCACGCCATTCTCCTGCCTCAGCCTCCCGAGTAGCTGGGACTACAGGCGCCCGCCACCACGCCCAGCTAATTTGTTATATTTTTAGTAAAGACGGGGTTTCACCATGATAGCCAGGATGGTCTCCATCTCCTGACCTCGTGATCCGCCCTCCTCGGCCTTCCAAAATGTTGGGATTACAGGCGTGAGCCACTGTGCCCGGCCTTATGTAGGTTTTTAAAAGGATAGATGTGCCACGGAAATTTCTTGGTATGATGTTCATTTAATTACCTTAGTGTTCCATATACAGTTCACAACAATTTAAAGAGAATGACAGGCAGGCGATGAAAGGCAGATGGTCGTGCTACAAAATGTAGAGATGCCTTATCCATTCTACCTTCACTGCCAGTAGGATTAGAGCATGACTCTGCTATTATTTATTCCTCCTCTTTTCTCCCCTGCCCCATTCTCTGTACCCATTCTATCACTTCCTGGTAAAACGATCTTACAGACTACTACTACTAGGTTTCCCTATCTGCGCAATGTAGATGAGCACTTTTATGAGTTATTTTTAGAGATTAAATGAGACAGCACCTGTGGTATGTGGCACACAGTAAACATCCAATAAATATTAGCTGCTAATTAGATGCTAAGTCACCACCATCGCAATCCATGACACAGGTTTTAAATTATCTCATGTTTAAATAGTTCTATATTTTTTCTTCTGCATTTGACTTTTACTAAAATTTGCCTTGAACTCTTTTTAGGAGGCAAGATATTTAAAAATAAATAATAGAATAAAATAAATAAATAAAAATAAATGATAGTAGAAAACGGACGTCATTACACTGAATAGGAGAGGGCTGACCTCACTTAACAAAGACAACGGCTCCACAAGGCCTAGGCCCACACCCCATTACCGCTGTGAGGGATGCTTCCTAGGAACCTGGATGACCTTGAGCAAACCTCGGAGCAGCGCTGATTAGACCCTTCTCAATTAAGTAAATAAAAGCAAGCATCTTGGTTTTTATCAAAAGTACTTTCATGGTTTTATCCATGAAAGTACTGCTTGTCCTTCTGTACAGACATAGCCAACCTGACACACTGATTGGGAAACACCAAATTCACCTCTACCTGAGGGCATACGTAACTGACTTTCTTTACTTTTCATCTCTCGCCCATGACCTTCCACCTCCCTAGCCTCTTACTATACCCATCCACTGCAACAAAGGTAAGAAAGAAGAAAAGCAAAAGTAACTTTTTCTCAAGACATACATGGTCAAGTACTATCTGGTCGAAACTTTGAAAGTTATTCCTCCTGTGATTGTTTGACATTTTCATTTTCTTCCCTCCCTTCCTGCACTCCCCTTCCTCCCTTCCTCTGTCCCTCTCCCATTTACCCTGCAGCTAGCTCTAGTAATGCCCCATTTACCCTCTGTTATCATTCTCATACATTCTAGCTCTCCAGTGCACACCCTGAGAGCTTGCTCTCATCTTTCTCTTCAGTTCTTAAATCCCCAGCAAAGTAGTACCTAGCAGAAAACCTATTAGTAGGTGCTGAAAAATGTCTTACAGTAAGTGAATAAAATATATTATCTATACTGCAACATACTGCAAAGAGCCCTGGGCTAGTAGTCAGTAACTGGCCTCCAGTCTCAGTAATGCTATTTGGTGGTTCTGTGGCTTCATATTTAAGCCACTTAAGCACTTAAGTATCCATTTCCTCATCTATAAGATAGGGCTTTTACTTGCTCTACTTACTATTACATATGGTTTCACAAAATGAGATGAAGAAAGCAAAAAACGCTTATTGTTATGCTAGTTTAAAGCACCATGGCTACTTCTGTTGAACAAGAGTATTTGCCAACCAAATTTCTAAATGTAAGCAGGAATAGTACAGTCACCTAATTAGGAGAGGCAGATATAATTAATATGTTTACTTGCCTTTCCCTAAAATAAGAAAAAAGCCAAAGCAGCTGAGCTGGTAAGGCGTTCATCCAGGTTATGTTATCACAAGTATAATGCTTACGCTGTGGGCAAGAAACAGCCCATGTTAATTGTGCCATGTCTTCCAATCTTAATTACAATGTAGATATAAAGTATTGGGGTAATTCTTACCAGGTTCTGGAAGGTCTAACTTTGCCCGCTTTAGTTCTGCCATAGAAATCTGAAGTTGCTCTATCACAAAATCATCTTCAAAGAAAAAATCCTTTGCCAGGGTCTCCTGAAAAAATTCTACAAGTTCTTCCATGGACAATTTCATTAGATGTTCTAAGAAAGGATAAGAGAAATGAAAATGCCAAGTGAATACTTTAGGTGGGAAGATACTCTGTTATATTCAGGTGTAGTATAAAAGGGCATTAAAAAGGGTACAAACAGCATACAACTTACATATGGCATTGAGGACATCATTAAAACTCAGTAAGACAAAAATACTGCCTGATATTAAAGCAGCCACACAGAAAAGCAGGAAAGTTTACTGGGAGAAAGGAAAGGAGGAGAATACCGCCTAATACTTCCTCACTGGAATAACTACACCTAGGCATTAGTATTACCCCAGGGCAAGAGCTTCTTAGAGACAGAGACAGAAAGACTATCTCAGCCTGCATGAGGCCTTTCTCCTTTATTGATATGGAGCTCCAACTGCTATACGCAAGCCCCATTTTAAGTCTGTATTTCTGTTTCAGAATTTCCCAGAACATCTGGATTTTAATCTTGTGAGTTTTATTTCTACTTTTGAAATTCATTTTCTTGGAAAAAGACATTCAAATTAAATATGAACACAAAGCAGAAAGTAAAAATCTGCTAAGATCTCATTACATAATACCCTACAGGTAGATCCAGGTATTTACAAGTGTTTATGTATATCAATTGAAGAATCCAAATTATACTTTTCAAGTTATTCCCCTTTTTGCTTTTTTTCCCATTTAATAATGTATCGCTGATACCTCATTTCAACAAATATGATTTTACATCATCATTAACAGCTGTAAAAGAGTGTACTACATGTATGCATTATAATTGACTTAATTAGTCTTCTAGTAATGGCCATTTAGGTGGTTTTTGATTTTTTATTATTTAAAACCACTGTGATGAACCTCCAGTAACAACATATTTTTAAGACAATCAGTAAGAAAAAAAAGAAAAAGGAAGGAAAAAACTTCTTATGAGCTTTAGCTAACTATTGGTTAATATGCCCAGAGTTTTTTTTTTTTTTTTAATTGGCTAACGACAAATTGTATATATCTGTGGTAGACAATATGTTTTGATATATGTATACACTGTGGAATGACTAAATCAAGCTAATTGACACCTCATTACCTCACATACTTATCTTTTTGTAGTGAGAACATTTAAGCTCTCAGCAATTTTCAAGTATACGGTACATTATTATAAATTATAGTCACCATACTGTATGATAGCTCACCAAAACTTATTCTTCCTGTCTAACTGAAACTTGAACCAGCATCTCCTCCCATCCCGCAGCTACCCTTCCATTTCGGAAGCTTTATATGGTGGGGATGGAACTTCACTTGAGCTTTCTCTCTCTAACCAAGAAAAATACACAGCAGCAGACAGATTTGTCCACAGCTCATTTAGTCCAATGATACGGTAGAATGTAAAGTAGTTGCTATGCTTAACGTTCATTTACAAGGGTGAAGAAACTTTTTACTTGTCAAAATTAATCAAGGGTCATATAAGTAACAGCTTAAGAAGGAGATGAGAGCTACAAAGAAATACATTATGTTTCGACTTCCTCATTCTTGAGGGAACATTAAGCTAATGTCTCTTAATTAAAATGTACTTCTGTTTTCTATTTTGATCCATTAACAATCCAGAAAGAAAGTCGGGGGGCGGGGGGAAGACAGGGGGAGAGCCAGAGGGAGAGAGGGGGAGAGGAGGAGAGGGGAAGAGGGGCAGGGAGGGGGAGGGGGAGGGGGAGGGAGGCAAAAGGCAGTGTGGGGGGCAGGTGCAGGGAGGAAGGAAAAGAGATTTCACAAGATCAGATGACAGACCTGAATCCTGGAAGATAATTCATAGTCAATTGTTTTGTTTTGGTCCACTAGTTGGGGAAAGAAGAACTGAGTATAAGGGAAGTGAACCACAACAATTCTGAGTCCTTTTCTTGAAAAAACTAAACATAACAAAAGTGCTTTTAAAGGGCATTTTCATTCCTATCTAAAGTATGGATAATCTGGCAGTCCTACAGTCCATGCTTTTCAAGTAAGCAACAAACAATCTTATAGTAAAGTCCGTAACACGTACTTAGAACAATGCCAAGCACAGCAGAGAGAAAAACTACAAACAAGACCCTGTGCACTCAATTAGTTTATAATTTCGTTGGGAAGCGGGACAGATCATTCAATAATAACATAAGAGAGTTGAGTGTACGATGAACATGAAACTATGTGGTATCACCTAGATTAGAAGTACGTACTATATGAAGCTCTAGAGCTTTCAATGATTTTCTTTTCTGCATAGCTACAAGAGAAGTCACATAATTTTTAAGGCTGAATCGAGACTTTAAAGATGAATAAGGTTCTTCATGGAAAAAAACCTCATGTCTTTATTTTAAAGTAAGGCATAACATATCAAATTTATAGAGCCCTTAAAATATTGCAACTGAAGACTAAAAATTTTCCAATTTTTTTTTTTTTAACCTTGCTGCATTTATCTGCCTATAGACACTGGCTGAACTTGCCCCAGAGGCCATAATGCACTCAGGTAGAGAAGTGGGTCTGTGTTCTCCCATCCACAGTTCAGAGCTGGGTGCTATTCTCCCTGGATGAAGGAAACAGTAATAGAAAATGTTTTCTCCAGCCCTTTGAACTAAGGGACCTGGTTTCTTTGGTCTTCCTTCTCTTACTGCAAACTTGAGATTCAGACTGACGAAAACAACAAGGGGTCCCAGTGGAAACAAATACTTGACGAAAAATATTACTAGTGAAACCAACTAACTGCACTCTACAAAAAGTGTGAAAATGACACTGGTATAAACAGAAAAGAACCGAAGGCCTCTGCAGTGAAGTAAGCTTCTAGTCATGAGAAAGAGCTTATAAAAATATGTGACCAATTGATGATAATTTCTCCAGTGATTTTCAAAAAAAAATTTAAACCACTATTAAAAAACAATGAATTTGAAGTAGGGTGCAGAATGAGAAATCAAAGCCTCAATTTTTTATGAAGTTTTAGAGTTTAAGCGTTTTCTTACTTTTGTGTAATTTTAAGATTGTGTAAGACATAGCAGTAAGAACTCGTTCTCCTTCAAAGATGTAGATATCCCATATTCTGAGGTTTAGTGTAAAGGGAGTCTATAATTAAAAGCAAAACAAAACAAAAATAAGGTTAACAGCTTCCCCTCACCTTGTATTTATAATTTTATGACTGAGTTTTGTAAATAAATACTTACACGATCAAGGAAACACTGAAAAAACCATTTCATTGTGTAAAAACTTGTGTAGATTTCTTGAGAATCCTGAAAAAACAAAGAGCTCACAATTTCCAGATTGTAGTAAACTAAATTTAACAAAATAATACGAAGTTAGGAAGGCTGTTGGATGCAGCTATCAAAGCTAAACACATTTACTTCCCAAATTCACTCCAAAAATAAATTCCTCTTATGACGGGACTATAATACAACACTTAGATTCTCTTTAATATATTTTACAGTGAGCTATCTTTGTTTACCTAAACTACTGTGTTTTATAGTAAGGCATACATATAGTTCACTAACAACGAGTTTCTGTGACCCTGAAAAAATACTTTCTGTACAATGAAAAAACCTCCAAAACAACAGGAAGATCCCATATCTTTAAATTATCACATTGTTTGCATTATTAGCTTCAAAGAAGTTCAAATCCCTCAGTAGGAACTGTGATAGCCTATCAATATTAAATTTTACAAATGTAATATTTTGTAAACAACTGGGAATTATAACTGCATAGTAAATGAAATGGATGACACTATAAATTAATAAGGTAATTGGGACCAAAGACAATTTAATTATCCCAGCTTTTTGGGGCGAGGTAGGTGGGTGTAAGTCAGTGTCACATCTACCTACCAAGTGTTGCTTAAGCTTGGACAGAAATTTGTTCAGTATTTTTTCATGATGTTCTTGAAACCTCAAGAGTTTAGGAAAACCTTGGACAAAAAAGCCTAGAATACAAACATAAAAACAACACTTCATAAACAATACCAACAAAACCCTCCAATCTTAAAATGCAACATATTTCTTTCCTTTGTAACTGTCAAAAATAAAAAGAAACATCCAGTAGTTACCAAAATATTTTTTCTCCCCACCCAGGAAGTAACTGTATATAAGCTTTCAGTAATGAAACTTTGAGCCTAGGATTTGTTTGCTAAAGATCTTCTATAACTTTGTATTTTTGAATTTAAAGGGAAACCTTAAAAAAAAAAAAAAAAAAAAGGACACTGAAGCCATTTATCAAGATTATCTGTTCTTTTAAGATATTGGGCCATATCTTACATGCATATATTTTTAATATTTTATTCCAACCCTGACTAGTTATTTTGTTTTACTCTTAATACACTAACAAACAATTTATTACTTTTTTCAGGCTTACTCTTAAGAATTTCATTAGTATAACATTTCCAAAGTTTTAAATCGCTTTTTAATCCTTTCCGAAAAAGCTGTATTTAACATCTGCTAAAAATACAGGTGCTAAATGATCAATGTTATATCAAAAATGGTATTTTATCCCGAGTGACTACACAATATAATCTATATCTAAGAAGTAACAAATTACAAATGGTTAGCATTAATTTTGTATATTTAACTCACTGAACTTTACATGTATTTTTCTTCCTGGTATTCTATATAATCCATTAAAAAGAAAGTTCACTCAACAGACTTGATGATTCTTCTACATTAGGATTTTCTAACCGAGGTTCCATGCAACTTTGAAAGATGTTAATAGACGTTCTACGCTTTTGAAAAAGAAACCAGAGGACACATTTATATCCTTCTTAGATATTCATGAGGCATTTTAGCTTATTAATCTTCTTGCCTTTTAGACTTAATGAAACTTGTTTTTCTTTCACTCAGTCTCTCCCACACTTAAGTGATTTTTGGAGGCCACATTCCCCCCCAGAAAGTCTGTTGCCCCAAAATGAAACTCTGTTCCACCAAGAACCTGAGGCACACGCTATTGGGCAGTGGTGCTTTACAATCTACTGGGCAGAATTATTTCTTAACTAGTTCTCAGTTTTCTAGGGTGTGTGTAAAAATTTCCAGAGACAGAAAGAGGTTCTACTCCTACTTTAGTAGTAGTTTTCAGTGAAATTGTTTCATTAAAAAAAAAAAAAATCCATCTTTCTCTATCAGTGCTACTTTCATGGCCAATTTGGTAGGATAGGATAGGAAGTCTGATTTTGAAAAAGTCAATACAGTTCAGTGATAACTAGCTCAAGAATGCTAAGAAGCCTAACATTTCTTCATGTTCCACTGATGTTCCAGATCTCATATTTTCAGCTTTAGCTTCAATCCCATACATTTATAAGTGAAACCACCGTGTTCACACTGGAAATGCAAAGTACTGAGGTAACCTTTAGTTATAAAATCTCACAGGCAGACACAGAAACAAACATCTCTAAGTATAAACTTACCCTTAATAATGAGCCAAACTGCATTCTAAGTGTAAATGTTAGGATAGTAGAATTAATACTATTTTATAGATTAGTCTAGTGACAATAATTGCTGAAGGTAAGCTATCAAATAGGTTTAAATGACCATTTCCTAAAATTGGACAGTCTTGCACATAATTACATACCACTTAAATTTGCATTCCATTGTACTTCAAGACAGATCAGCAACACAACCCCATGGGAAAGCAAAATAAAGACTGACAGGGAAGAGCGGCTTTCTTCAAGATGCCTTTTGGAATGATACTACCTACTGGAAGGTAACTCTATATAATAACATGTCTTACTTTTAGAGTCTATTTACTAGATGCAAAGTGCCCAGACCCAGTTACCATGCAGATGACATTTGTTAAGTAATTGGCAAGGAACACTAAGGGAGAAAGACAAATGCAAGCACATACATACCCCCCTCACTCTTCCACACACACATAATATCCTCACATGGTCAGAGTGTGAGATTTCAGTAACAATGAGCTATAGAAAGTCATAATTTTGAAAATATTAAAACAGTATTTTAAATATATAGCAGGTTCCCCACCACACAAAGCTTATTCACAAACTGAACTTGGAAGATTCATTCTTAGAATAGCTAGTGTTAAAATTATTTTAAATTTGATATTAACACTTAGAATAACTAGTGTTAAAATTATTTAAATTTGATGGCACTAGGAAAATAATTTTGCATTATATGAACAAATGCCACTTTTATTTCCAAGACAAGTTGTGATCTAAGGGCGGGGGCTGTGGCTCACACCTGTAATCCCAGTATTTTGGGAGGCTGAGGTGGGAGGTTCACTTGAGTCCAGGAGACTGAGACCAGCCTAGTCAACATAAGGAGACCTCATCTCTATAAAAAATTTAAAAAATTAGCCAGGCATGGAGGCACATGCCTGCGTGGTTCCAGAATCTAGAGAGGCTAATGAGGCGGGAGGATGGCTTGATCCCAGGAGGTCAAGACTGCAATAAGTCACAATCACGCTACTGCACTCCAGTTTGGGTGACAGAGCAAGACCCTGTCTCAAGAGTTGTAATCTAAACTCTCCGAAATAAAGTCTATTGCTTAATTTGGCAAAAACAAGGAAAAAGTTATTATAAACAGTGTTAACTTGAAAACGAAAAAATCAGCAGGTTTTGAGATATTAAATAATCGAGTGCCTAGAACATGTTATCAACCTTTTATTTAAAGTGGAACCAATTTTATGCGAAAAAACTAAAAACTACACTTGAAATATAAAACTACTTAATTATTACCTTTCCTTTAAAAACCTAAGTGCCATTTCTCAATGACTGTTTTTTTGACAAAGTGTTATACATCACAATATCCGGTCAATGGTAAACATTTCACTTAAATGATAATTTCATGACCATCTAAAAGTTCTGATTAAAAGGCATCTTTTATTTCTCCTAATAATATACCTGTTCTTAAATTTCTCCAATCCTAAATTAGTTTCTTTTGACCAAGGGCAAGTAAGAAAGAATTTCAAAATGCCAACAATATACTTTGGAATAAAGACAAAGGAAAATAAATGTGAACATTTTAGAAAAGTTCAATAATGAAAAATGAAAGAAGAAACTAGTAACAAATACTAATGAACTCAATGAGCCCTGAGACATTAAATTTGTTGTATGTAACTCTTGCAAGCATCTTTGGTTTTGTTTTAATCTACCTTTTTCCCTACCTTGATTGTTTAGATAAAGCACAGGGTTTTCTTACCATGCATGGCATGTTTAGGGCCTGAGAAGAGTTTGACCAGGGCCCAGAAGGCATCTTCCTCGTTCATATACATGAGGAGTAAAGCTGTGATCTGGCTCATCCCCTGACAATACCCGACTTCCTGGGGAGCAAAGGGGAACACAGAAGCTGGGGAGTTTAGCTGAATTACATACATATGTACAGAGAAAAAGCTACTCTATAAAAACCAGAAAATTCCTACACACATCGTTTAACAGTCCATTCTAGAGACAAATACTATACTCTTTACAGTATTATGCCACATAAGAGAATAAAATTGTGCTCAAAAATAAATGTACAGGTACAAAGTGTAAATTGCTACATATTTTTATTGGACTCTGTTCAACACTGTCACACTTTCTTTAAAGAGTGTTAATATTTATTTCACTTTATGTATGATTCTTAGCTCACTGTATCTCTTCTTTGCTCAGTGGCTGGCAAAGTCTCTCCTCCTGCAATACCCAGTATGCTGTCTTGTCTCCTCTAGATTTCTGAACCCTTAAGCAGACACATTTTAGGATGCCCATGCACAGTCTATGCCTCCTCTCTAAGAAATATCCACTCTCCCCACAGTCCCTGCTTATGATGTAGCCTCAGGGATTCATGCTTGTGCCACAGGAACCACAGCTAATGTACCAGAAGAGGAGAGCTGACCCCAGGGGAAGAGTTAGTTGGTTGCACTGACTCATCAGACACTCTCTCTAGGAAATGTGAACAAAGCCAGAGACTGTAATCAGATGGGGGCATGTACTGGAACAGAATGCTCACACTGAGTCTGTGGGTACAATCTGAGCCAAGGAATAAGTGGCCAGTAGGCAAAGGAAGCAACCTGGAGAGAGAAACAGTGAACTGAACAGTTCACAGAGATCATCTGAGATACTGAGGGGCCCCCAGAATGAGAGAGATGGAAGGTGCAGTTTTCCTTCTCACCAGATACTTCCCACCTTTCCAGCTCCAATTCCAATGAGGCCTAACTAGTGCTTCCTTCTTATGAGATGTCCCTTTAATAACCCCTTTTTAACTTTTCCTAGTTTGAGTGAATTTCTGTTCTTACAATTTAAAGGTTTTAACTACAATAGAAATTATACATCCCAAGGTTCAAAGGTCCTCCCTGGGACCTATTCCGCAAGTATTCATTTAACACCCACATTAAGTCCAACACGAATTAATCTATCCCAGGTTATCTTCTTCCCCAACAATGCTGAATGCCTTAAGAAGAGCATGTCTATTACCAAAGAGTTTAGCCTCCTCCGGGGTATAGCCAGTAAGGGCACAGTTATCTTGTTTGGACCTCACCTAATAGATAAATGTGATTGTGAAAGGTAACCTCCCAAGAGCAAAGAGAGTTATAAAAAGTCAAACAAAATTAACCAAGCCACCCACTTCCTGTCCTTCTACCCTGTATGTCTGCTTAAAAATAAAAACAAAACAACACAAAACATTACCAAGCAAAACAATATGGAGGGAAAGAGAAAAGGTGAGACTCACTGGCATACTGTGGTCATATTTAGGTTCTTCCACTTCAGAATCAGCTCTGCTCTAAGGCCCTAGGGTTATCGCAGGGTTTCAGCTTAAAAAGATCCACAGAGCTAAAGAGACTGTGGAACCACCTAGCTCTGAGATGCAGAAATGTGCCCACAGGGCCCTGTTAGGTAGGGAGTGCCTCAGAATACAAATCAAAGACCTTGGGCAGGCAGGCCCCAACTTACCGTATTATAAATAGAATAGGCAGCAAGAACATGGAATAAGGATTGTTGCCTAGAGAAAAAAAAAATTTACATTAAATATAATTTAGTAATTTCACATATTTTAAACATTACAAACTTAATAAAGACTGAAAACAGATAATCCAGATAAAATTACTAATGTAATAAATTATCCCAAGTTCAAATTCAAAGACTCTAAAAAGTCTAAATTCAAGACTAGATAATATTCATTCTGAAAGGATTTATACCAAGAAAACACAAAAGACTTCAAAATTCCTTAAATGTGCTGCCCTCTTTTGCTGATCTATCTCACTTTGAGACCCTTCTGACAGAAGCAGCTGGCTTGACAGAATGGTGGAACGTCCTTTTGAGGGCTCAGTGACACTGCCAGCAAGGTACAATACCCTGCAGGGCTGGGGCGATGTCCTTGGGATGCTGAATATGCTCCATACCAGGCTCCAATACAAGGTGCTGTTTCTCCCAAAGCCAGGATTCAGGGGTCCAAGATTCAAAGGCTGGAAGTAGGAGTGGCTCATCATTCTCGCTAAAGATCCACTAGCAAAGCGTTTGCTTCTTGCCCCTGCAAGCTTGAGTTCTGCTGGTCTAGAGATCTTAGTTTCAAAAGGAAGAATGCTTCCACCATGAGACGTAACAGTGATTCCACTGACCTGGAAGCTGAAACTGCCACCCAACCACTTTGGGCTCCTTATGCCTCTGAACCAACAGGCAAAGAAGGACATGCCTGTGCGGGCTGGTGTGATTCTCCTGATTGCTAAGGGGAACATGGGTTGTTACGACACAACAGACACAAGGAGGAGTACATTTGGAATGCAGAACACTTGGGGCATCTCTTACTAGTATTACTGAGCCCTGTGATGAAAGTCAATGGAAAACTACCAATTCAGGCACAACTGCTAAGTCCAGATTTTCAGGAAGGTTTGAGTCATCCCTCTAGGTAAAGAACCACAACCATCTAAGGTGCTTGCTGAGGGCAAAGGGAATATGGAATGGGCAGTGAAATGGGACATTAAAAATACCACCTGTGACCACACGACCAGTCACAGAAATGATCACTACAATTGTTATGAGTATTTCTTCCTTATTTTGGTGTAAATATATTTGTATATATACCAACAAATATTTTCTTCTTCCCTCTCTTTTCCCTTATCATCTAACATAAGGTATCTTAATAATAGTCAACTTTATACCACAGTGTGTAAGTTACAGGATACTAAAGCAGAAGTGTGATCATCTCCCAAGGACTTGGCATCCTCATGTGGGGAAAGAATCCGCACATTTCAGTTGTGAGCAGAATAGTGGCATCATGTTAGGTGGAAGGAAGACTTGGTTACTATCTTACCTGGAAATTTTTTAAGGTGGTGTGTGTGAGTGCCAAGTTGCCAAGGCTGGACTACAGTGGTTGGCTCTGGGTGTCAACTTGGCTAAACAACAATCCCCAGATATCCAAAACACTGATCTAGGTGTCACTGGGAACATATTTTGTAGATTGATAAAAATCCATGATCTGTTAAGTAGGAGAGATTATCCTAGAAGATCTGGGCAGGCCTCATTCAATCCGTTGAAAGGCCATAAGGGCAGATTTGAGGCTTTTCTGAAGAGGAATCTCTGCCTGTGGCCAGCAGCTTCGGCTCATGCCCGAGGCCCAGGCTGTCCTTTCCGATGGCCTGCCCTGTGGATTTTGGCCTTGCCTAATCACCCCCGACAGCTGGAGAAGACAATACCTTGAAATGTCCTAACATATATCTCCTATTGGTTTCTGTTTCCTGGTGAGACTCTCTGACTAACATAGAGATCAGCAAAAACTGTACTTTTCATTTATAAGCTGTCATAGCAATGATACATCAATTCATTAATTTCTCATTTCATTTCATTTCCCTTTTTTAAAAAAAAGTTTCATTTATGCGTGGGGGTCAAGGTTATAGAGATATATTTATCACTGACAAAGTTTTTACACACTGTCATCCTTCTATGACTTCTAATGAAAGTACCACATTTCTAAGAATTCCCAGATTATAAAATGAGTCTTTACCAATTTTATAGCACGTGCTATGTCAAAGGTTAAAAATTTTAAGTTAAATTAGATCTTAAGTTTCACACAACATGGACGCAAATGATCTGCAAAAGCTTAAACCTTTAGGACCTAAATCAAAATTACAGTCTATAAAGGCACTCTAATTTTAACTTAATAAAGACTATTTATAAATGCGATTAACATTTCACAATATTAAACTTTACTTACTTAACACCGTATCTGTCTCTAAACATAATGTGGTCCCGAAACGTGCGGTTGACATCCAGGTCTATTTGTCTGATGTCAGGTGAACAGCCCCGTGCTCTGTGTTTTAATTTCTGAAGAGAAAAAGAGAGGGGAGAACAGATTTTTATGGAAATTAGTTGTTGAAAAGTCAATGACAAATAATAATTCTCATTAAAAAGTTTTTGGTTTAAAAAAATCATTCAATGGTTAAAAAAATCAAAACTATATATATAAAAAAGTACAGAATAGAAACTTTCCCTCCCCTCCATTCCCCCATTTCTCCTACTCCCTGCTTCTCCCTCTTCCCCTACCTTCCTTCTCTTCCATCCTATCTAGTTAGATTTTAATTTAGGATAGAGAACTTTTCAGAGTTTGCACTACTGAACTATGTGAAAGCTCTTCATGGCTGAGCCATGCAGTCTGTCATGATTTCTTGTTTCTTTCCAGGATGATGCTTTTGTTTCCCTTGAAGCTAATCATTGCCTTGTTTCTCAATGTGCTTCGTTTCCCACCTAATTCAATCCCAAGCTCACTATAAATGGTATAATCTCCTCAGGTGATGTTCAGGTAGAGTAGGTGTTCCACCAGCTTCATCTTGCTGTCTGCTGCTCCTGCCTGTGCGGCCCGACCTCTGGGCCCGCTCTCACCTGTGAGGCCCGATCGCTGGGCCCGCTCCCGCCTGTGCGGCCCGACCGCTGGGCCCGCTCCCGCCTGTGCCGCCTGACCCTCTGGGCCCGCTCCAGCCTGTGCGGCCTGACCTCTGTGCCCGCTCCCGCCTGTGCGGCCTGACCTCTGGGCCCGCTCCTGCCTGTGAGGCCTGACCACTGGGCTTGCTGCACAGCCTAGGTCCTGGAGCCTCCCTTCTCCAACTGCTGGGATGGTTTTCTCCCATGTTGGGCCCCCTGTTTCCTGGTCTCGTATCTTTTTTTCTCAGGTTCTTCCCTTGCTCTGCAGGAACACATTCTTTAGTAGCTCCTGTGAAAGGCTGTATGGAAGATAAAGATTTTGAAACTTTGAATATCTGATCATTCTACCCTCTTATTTAACTGTTTGGTTGTTTTAGAATTCTAAGCTGGAAAAAACTTTTGCTCAAAATGCACGGCTTCACTGTCTTCCAGCTTCCAGTGTTGCTATTCTAATTTGTGTTTCTATACGTGCAATCTGCTTTTTCTCTCTAGAAGCTTGTAGGAGTTTCTCTCTCATGTTTTGAAACTTCACATTTCAGTACTGGGTTTGGATCTGTTTTTATTTTTATCCACAGGGTTGGGCACTTAGTGAATCCTTCCAATCTTAAAAACTCCTACCCACATCTTTCAGCTCTCAGACATCTTCAACAATTCATTTGTCAATTTCTTCATCTTCCCCTCCCTCCACTCCCATTTTCTTTTTCTGAAACTCTTATTATTACAGTCTGGGAACTCCTAGGCTATCATCTACTTTTCTTGTATTTTTCTGTATTATTTTGCATCTCTTTGCTTTTATAACTGATATTCTGGGAATTTCCTCAATTGTCATTTTCAATTAAGTTTTTCGTTTCTAGTATTTTTATATTCATAAGCTCTGTTGTTTTTGAGTGTTCCCTTTTATAGCATTCTATACTTGTTTTATGGATGCAGTATCTATTTTTCTCTGAAGATATTAAAAATAGTTTTTTATGCCGGGCGCGGTGGCTCATGCCTGTAATCCCAGCACTTTGGGAGGCTGAGGCAGGCGGATCACAAGGTCAGGAGATCGAGACTATCCTGGTTAACACGGTGAAACCCTGTCTCTACTAAAAATACAAAAAATTAGCCAGGCGTGGTGGCCGGTGTGCCTGTAGTCCCAGCTACTCGGGAGGCTGAGCCAGGAGAATGGCGTGAGCCTGGGAGGCGGAGCTTGCAGTGAGCCAAGATTGTGCCACTGCACTCCAGCCTGGGTGACAGAGCGAGACTCTGTCTAAAAAAAAAAAAAATAGTTTTTTAGTTTCTCTTCTTTACACTATACTCTGTTTCTTACAAGCTGCTTTCTTCATTTGCTTCCGCTTATCTTTCACATTAGCTCCCTTCTTCAAATGAATGGCGACACTTCGTTTTCTGCTTTTATTTAAAAGTGGGACACAAAAAAGCTGCATGCCTGGGTAAGGCTTCCTGACTGTGATCCTGCTTGTGGAGGGATCTGGCCAGGCAGCTGGACTGGGGTTCCCTGAAATCAGTACCTTTGAGCTTATTTTCTTAGGCTGATCACATTCCCCAGAGAAGGCTCTTCCAATCTCCTGTCAGGAAGACAAGCACCTGGCTGCCAGTGATCTGGGAGGTGAGTTGAGGAAAAAGGCTGGACTGTCCAAAATTTAAACTACTCAGCTCCTCTGCTTTCATGACAGCAGTTCACCCGCAGCAAGGTCTGTGTTTTCCCCAGTCCAGAGGCCCTCTGTTTCATCCTCGCCAAATAACAAACCTCCAGTCTTGGGCCAGCACTGAGGGGGCTAAGGAGCTCTAACTGCTTCTGAAACAGACTTTCAACCACTTCTGTGTTTAGCTTCACCTCCACTTCCAGAGTTTCCTGCAGTTGGCAATTACCAAGCCTTATGGAGATTTTGAGCTGTTAATCAGGTTGCTTCTCCAATTCCCACTGCCAGCCTAGGACTGAGCTTCCTCAGGTTTGGTAAGTTTACTAAATGTCTGTGTGCAATCTCGTTTTCCAAAACTGGTAGCTGTTAAGCATCTCCCATTTTCTCATTTCTGTGGGTTTGCCTTTTTATAATAAAAACTCTGTCAATTTAGTGGCATTTCAAGGGAAAGGGAGCTAAATGAGTATCTTGAATCTCCCATGTTTAAACAGATGGGAGATTAAAATTTAACCATGTTTAATATAAATAAGAATTTATATACTATGTTATATTGACCCATTTACCATGTACTGGTAATACGGACTTCTGCTTGAATCAATTCCAATAAATATATATAAAAACATAACTGTTCCTGACTTCAGCTAGAAGTGGAAAGAAGGCTATCTGGGCATGTCTAGAATAAGTATGTGTGTGTGAAGTGTTTTATAAGTCTGTGTATTTTTGTGTATTGAAGTTCAGAGAAGGGGCTTCTGCAGCTTTTTAAAACAGGAAGAGCAGCCACAGTATACTTCAGAATTCTAAAGACAGAGGAAGACATTTAGAGTATTGTATTAGAATCATACGGCCACTAAAACATTATCGTATATTATTTCTGAAGAAGGTGGTTCAGAAGATATTATAAAAATTTAGCTTGAAAAATAAATCTGTACATATTTGTTCTCTTCCATCTTTTTTTTTTTTTTAAAGATAATGGGCAAGGCCAGGCACAGTGGCTCACACCTGTAATCCCAGCACTTTGGGAGGCCGAGGCGAGGGAATCACAAGGTCAGGAGACTAACACCATCCTGGCTAACACGGTGAAACCCTGTCTCTACTAAAAATATTAAAAAAAAAAAAATAGCTTGGCATGGTGGCAGGCACCTGTAGTCCCAGCTACTCAGCAAGCTGAGGCAGGAGAATGGCATGAACCCAGGAGGCGGAGCTTGCAGTGAGCCAAGATAGAGCCACAGCACTACAGCCTGGGCGACAGAGCAAGACTCCGTCTCAAAAAAAAAAAAAAGATAATGGGCAAGTAAAGAGGTTTCAATTATTGTTCTACAGGCCTCCTTGTAAAAGATGGGATGTCAAAACACAAGAAGAAAATGTTTGACAAGACATGATAAAAGAAAATGCCTTAAAAGTTAATAGGAAGGCAGAAAAGATGCAAACGCATCTATAATATCAGTTCCTCCAGAGGACAAGAAAATCTATCATAAAAAAGGCCTCGTAATGGAAGAAAAGCCTGGGTAAGTACATAAAAAATAACAGGTCAGAAATACAATTTATGTCCTAAAATGTTTATAAGCTAATGCATGGAATGCAGGAATCAAACATATTTTTTTACTCCTGAATGAAAAGAGGTAAACAGTTTCTAGTTACCTCTGAGATTAGGTGGGTTGAGATCCACGAGTGTCACAGTAATATAAAAATAAAATTTTATTTTAAAAATTGAGATCAAATGAACCCATAAACCTGAGGGCAGAAGTACAGTGGGAAGCATTTAGATAAAAAATTAGCATTATTGGCCAGGCACAGTGGCTCACGCCTGTAATCCCAGCACTTTGGGAGGCCAAAGTGGGTAGATCACGAGGTCAGGGAGTTCAAGACTAGCCTGGCCAGCATGGTGAAACCCCATTTCTACTAAAAATACAAAAATTAGCAGGGCATGGTGGCGGGCACCTGTAATCCCAGCTACTCAGTAGGTTGAAGCAGAGAACTGCTTGAACCCAGGAGGTGGAGGTTGCAGTGAGCCGAGATCACACCACTGCACTCCAGCCTGGGCAACAGAGTGACACTCCGTCTCAAAAAAAAAAAAAAAAAAATAGCATTATCATTGTGAGTTTGGTCTATGAGATTACTGAGCCACACTAAGGCTGTGGATGAGGCTGTTTTCCACTGTGGTCTGATCCTATACCATCTGTAAGTTACACTGCTAAATGCAAGAGAGAAAAATTAAAATGAGACAAAAGAAGAGAAAAACATATTAGATGAGAGCAGCCAAGACAACTTGGATCATAAATCCTACCCCTGCCACTTGCTAACCCTGGGGTGAAAAGTCACTTAGCCTCTCTAAGCTCAGTTTCCTCATGTGTAAGATAAATACAATAATAATGACAAAACCTGCATCTTGGCATTGTTGTAGGAATTAAATGAGGTAATTCCCATAGAGCACTTAGACATAAAAGTACTCAAACAATGTCAGCTCTCCTCATGGTAAAGTAGGAGATATACTACTTTGCCTCAAGGTAAAGTATTTAAAATACGGCAACATGAAGCTTCAAGTTAAAACTAATCAGATCCAAGTTGGAGGGAGGAGATCAGGGAAGGTCTTTGCAATGTGCTTTGAAACTCACTAACCATTTTCCTACCTGTGGGAAACAAAGCCCCACCAAGACACCTCCTACTCCATGAAGTCTTCCTGGATCATAAAGGTGATTTCTTTTTTTACTTTCTTTTCCACTCCTACTTTTACAGTATTTATTACAGACTATTATTAAATATTTCTAT